TGAAAATCCAACTAAAATTCAGGAGTCTTCTACCTTATTGAAATTTATAGTGGTTTAGGTGGTATAGAGCATGTAAAGATATCACTTCTAAGTTTAAAGACAAGTTGCTCCATTTGGCTTCTCCTACAGTCAACAAAGATAAGTTGCCTAGATACAATAACTAGTGGGTCTATTAGGATTTTGGAGAGAACACATTTCTTATTTGAATTCTTCACTCTGGCCCATTTACTGAGTGACCCTCATGTTGTTAACTTGGGGACTCAGAAGAGAAGAATGCTGTATACAAACTCCTTTGCCACTTGGATCATATAAGATCAAGCATATCCAGTGGTACTTGAGGTATCAGTGGCAGATAATAATAATAATGCTTTAATCACAGGACAGGCCTTTATAATTTTGAGAGGCAGCCATTTACCTATAACTAAGCCTTTACGGAAACTGAATACTTGACCATGTGCCATCAAATTACCATATGACCTGAGCTACTATCATAGACTGGTGTTATCTTACCCACCAAGCCATGAAGTTGGGCATGCACAGTAGTACTCCATCATCAAATGGAAGTGTTAGGGCCCAAGCAGTTCCTGAAGGTACAAGTAAGTTAATTGAAGAAATGGCCCAAATGCCCATAGTTCTTACTTCTGCTAGAGAGTCTTCTCTCTTTCATTCTGCATCTATGGTTTCATCTTATAATCAGTTGACAGAGAAAAAGAGGACTAGGAATAAGTTTACAGACACCACTTGAAAGTAGACAGCTGCAGTACTAAAGCCCTTTTCTGGTACATTTCTTAAGACACTAGCGAAGGAAAATATTCTCAGTGGGCAGAACTTCAAGCAGTATACCTGATTGTACACATTGCTTAAAAAGAGAAATATCCAGGTGTGTGATTGTAAACTGATTCACTTGCTAGAGTCAATAACTTGGAAAGACCATGATTAGGAACTAGTGATGAAAAAATTTGGCAAAGAGTTATGTGGATGGACCACTCTGAATGGGCAAAGGATGTGAAGATATTTATGTCATATATTAATGTTCATCAAAGGGTGATGTCAATAGAAGAAGACTTCATATCAAGTGGATAGTATGACCTATACTGTGGATACTATTAAGTCTCTTTCTCCAGCCACTCCTTTCTTCACCCAGTGGACTCATGAAAAAAAAGTGGCCATAGTGGCAGGGCTATGCATGGGCTCAGCAACATGGGCCTGTGCTCACTAAGGTCAACCTGGTTGTTATCACTGCTGAATCACTGATTTGCCAGCAGCAGAGACCAATGTAGTTCTCAATATGGAGCCATTCCACAGTCTTCTACCTGGTGACAGGTTGATTTTATAGAACCATATCCATCTTGCTGTTTTGTATTTACTGGAATAGATGCTTACTTTAAATATGGATTTCCCTTCTACCAATATGCTTGTACCAAAACTATGGTCTATGGTCTTACAGACCAACTTTTGTACTGTCATGTTATTGATACACAGCTTTGTTTCCGACCAAGGAATTAACTTCATAACAAAAGAAGCACAGTAATGGGCTCATACTCAGAGAATCCCCTGGTATTACTATGTTCTCCACCATCCTAAAGCACTTCCCAGCTCTGTGATCAGGAAATTGTTCCTATGCTAAAATGAGCTTTACCATGTAGTTCACAGTCCTGCATTATCTATTGTTCAGTGCCTAGAAACATTTACAACAGATATCACATCCAGGGTTTTTTTTAATTTGTTTATGGTAGGAGGGCAAGTTTACTATGATTAATACATAATAATTAAAAGCCTACCATAGTAATTTGAAGCCCATCATTGATCTTTTTTAAAAAGTGAAATAGTACTTCTAGTTTTAATTAGAATATAGACAGTTATGAGACCACATGCAGGAATGGGAACCATAGTACAGTGTTGTGATTTTGCTTATATGATGAGACATAGACTAGAGGTCAGGGAAGCTGGGATGACTGGAATTTGTGGATAGAGAATCAGAGACGAGGGAGCTATAGCAGATAAAATACTGCGAAAATCTGCCATTGAATCTTTGACTGCAACCTAAACTATATATTTAGAATAAAACACTATAAAGTCAAGCAAAGAACAATTACTAGGGAGCTATATGAGGTACAAGTATCAAAGTTCACGCCAGATGGAGAGATACATATTGAGTTTTGAGTAGCCACAGAGAGACCTTGTTGCGTAACTGAGGCATTCAATAGATATCTAGAGGGTGACACTTTAACAATAAGGCTTGACTAGCCCCAGAGTGAAGGCTAGTCTAAACTCTCCAACAATCTTTTAAAAAGGCATAAAATAGAATTCTAACCTAAAAGTAAGTTAACTACTTGTCCAAATTAACTTAAACACTTTTTAAAGAAAAAAATCCATGCATCAGCTTTATAACACAACAAACAACATTGATAAAAATTATTAGTAACATGAAGAAGGAGGAAAATGTGACCCATAACTACAAGAAAAATAAGTCAGTGGAAACAGATGAAACGGTCACTGAGAAAGTGGGGGGGAGGACTTTTAAAAGACCTAGAATACCTAGAATATTCAATACCAAAGGAGGATAACAATGTTGTAAAACTGAGGCAATATAACAGAGAAAAGATAGTTTCTTTAACAAGTGGTGTTGGAGCAACTAGACTTGGCAAAAAAAAAGTGAATCTAGACACAGATCTTCAAACTTTCACAAATATTAACTCAAATGGATCATGGGCTCAAAACATAAATCGTAAAATTACTGGAAAATAACAGGGAAAACCCTTAATGGTCTTGGGTATTGAAATGACATTTTATTTATTTATTTTTTGTTTTGTTTTTTGGAACTGGAGATTGAACCCACAGGTACTTTGCCACTGAGCTACATCTCTACACTTTTTTTTTTTTTTAAGACAAGGTCTCTGCTAAGTTGTTGAGGCTGGCCTTGAACTTCAGTTTCTCCTGCTTCAGCCTCTTGAGTCACTGGGATTACAGGCATGTACCACCATGCCCAAATGAAATGATTTTTTTAAATAAAACATCAAAGAAACAAACAACTCAAAGGAATAGTTGATAAGCTGGACCTTGTAAAAATTAATAACCTGTATTCTGTGAAATATACCATTAAGAAAATAAGAAAACAAATCACCGAGGAAAATATGTGCAAAAGACATAGCTGAGGGGAAGAAGTATAGCTGAAGAAAGATATTGGCCAAATTATATAATGCATGTACAAATGTGTAGACAGATCCCACCATTATGTACAACTATAGTAGCACCAATAAAATGTGGGGAAAAAAAAACATAGCTGGTAAGTGACAATTGTGCAAAATATAGGAAAATTTATTAGAGCCCAACAATCAGGGAATAAAAAACATGATTTAAAAATAAATAAAAGATTTGAAGAGACATTTAACCAAAGAAGATACACATATGGCAATTGTGCATATAAAATATGTCATTAGGGAATTGCAAATTAAAACAAAAATGAGAAACCACTACACACCTATTAGAATGGCCAAACTCAAAACACTGACAATACAAAATGATGTTGAAGGTGTGGAAGAACTCTCATTCATTGCTGGTGGAATATTCTTACCATACAATCTAACTATTTCTCCTTGGTATTTATGCAAATGACTTAAAATGTTTGTTTGCATATAAAAGCTGAACTTGGATGTTTATAGGAGCTTTATTCGTAATTGCCAAAACTTGGAAGCAATCAAGGATGTCCTTCAGGAATAAATGGAAAAATATACTGTGGTACATTCAGATATTGGAATACTATTCAGTGATAGATTATCAAGCTATGAAAGACATGGAGGAAACTTAAATGCAAATGAAGTCAATCTGAAAAGGCCATGAACTGCATGATTCCAACTGCATTACATTGAGAAAAGGCAAAATTATGGAATGAGTGAAAAGATTAATGCTTGCCAGGGGTAAGGGGGCAGGAAAGGGTGAAAGTAGAGCATAGAAAACCTTTAGAGCAGTGAAACTGTTCAGTATGATACTATAATGGAGGATAAATGTCATTATACATTTGTCAAGATTCATAGAATATATAACGCCAAGAATGAACCGTAATGTAGGCTACAAAGTTTGGATGGTAATGATAGTAAACCAAAAGCAATGAAACGTTCCCGGAGTGATTGTAGAGGTTAGAGCTACTGCAAAAGACTTGAGATATGCAGGGATGTGGGTTCCCACCATATCTCTCATTTGACTCACGCATTTGGCTTATGTAGAAAACATGAATCTTGGAGAATCACAGTAAATTATTATCAACTTAACCTAGGTGGTAACTCCAAGGGCAACTGGCACTCCAGATGGAACTTCATAGTCTGAGTAAACTAATATGTCTCCTTCATATATCATGTATAACTATTGATACGGCAATGCTCCTTTTTCTCTTTTCAATTTCTGTGACAAAATAAAAAATGTTGGAAGCTATATACCTTTATTATCTTATCTCCATGATATATCAGTTCTTCAGTTCTTCAACCAGTCTTTCACTTTCACAAGACTGGTCCATTTCATTGATAATATTATACTAGTTGGACCTAGTAAACAAGTATTAAACCTATGGTGAGATATTTGCACATCACAGAGCGGGAAATAAATTTGATAGAAAAAGGTAACTTTTATCTCAGTGGAATTTCTAGGAATCCCTTGGGGTGGGATAAGTTGAGCTATACCTTCTAAGGTGAAGTTTTGCACCTGGTCCCTTTCCAACCAAAAAGAAAAGCAGGAGGCACAATGGAGGCAGTGTATTCCTAATCTGGATGTTCTAGCCTGGCCCATTTACTGAGTGGTCAATAAAACTGCTAGTTTTCAGTAGGACCCAGAACAACCGGAGACTGCAACAGATCCAGGCTACTATTCAAAGTACCCTATCACTTTGGTCATATGATCTAGTAGATCTATGGTGCTTAAATTCTAAGTGGCAGATAGATATCCTGTTTGGAGACTTTGGAAGGCCCCCTAAAGGTATAGAATACAATGAGGTTTCTATTTTATTTTAGAACTTGAACCTGAAGAGCCTAAAGAGGTTTTAGAAGGAGAAAAACTTGAAGAAGTAGAGGAAGAAGTTAAGGAGGAGGAGGAAGAAATAGAAGAAATAGTTGGAGAACCAGCCAATTTGGAACGACTTTGGTCTTTTTCCTGTGACTTAACCAAAGGCCTTAACATAAGCAGCCTTGCCTGGAATAAAACAAATACAGTAAGTTATCAAATATTTTAATAATTCCATCTCTAGGATTTAAGGACAACTGTCAAATTCTAGTAATGAAGACTTTTTTCCTCTATGAGGCAATTAATTAAAATTAATCCCCAATTTTAGAATGTCCCTAAAACTACTTCATATTTCGAAAAGGGAAAATAAAACAGTTACAAGATCGTGTGTGTGTGTGTGTGTGTGTGTGTGTACACATACATATATATAAAACATTATCATTTTTATTTTAGGACATGTACTTGGGACATGGTATTCTCAATTCATTTCAGATACTAAGACACATGCTAGAAAGTAACATATGGTTGATTAATTTTAACATATACCAAAACTCATGTAACAAAATTCAGATTCTCCTCAAATTAGTCATATTTAGAAGTATATACTTCAATCCAATGACTCTGCAAATAGGCAAAATAATTTTGAGATTCCTTTAAATGCTATTACTACTAATATTAGCAAACACTTAAACAGTATAAACCAGACAGTGTTGTGTTATACCTGTGTTAACACTTTTAGGTATTATTGTTTTCTTCATTATGTTGATGAGGAAACTGAGATGCAAAAAGTTTAAATAACTTACCCAATGATCACAACTATTAAATGAAACAGTCAATCTAAACAGATAACCTGGCACCAAGTTCTCACCCTTAACTATTGCACTGCCAAAAATCCTTTTAATACAAACAAACAAAAAGCTGAATCAAGCTCAGAAATGGTATGTTTGCTTGTAAAGAAGAAATAATTATAGAATAACAAAGCCAATTTCCTCCTGGAGTTTATAAACTTATTCTGAAGACATTTCCCATTTCTAAATCTAAATTTTGGAATTTAGCAATTTCAGAAACCTTTTGGAGAATAACACTATCTTTGAGATAAATAGTGTGTTTTTAAAGTGCTCAAAACAATTTTTTTTAGAATTACATTGTATTACATATATTTAAGAATTAGCCTTATGATGGTTTGCTTTTTTTAATTAATTTGTTTATTTATATATGACAGTAGAATGCATTACAATTCTTATTACACATATAGAGCACAATTTTTCATATCTCTGGTTGTATACAAAGTATATTGACATTAATTCATGTCTTCATCAATGTACTTTGGATAATAATGTCCATCACATTTTACTATCATTTCTAACCCCATGCCCCCTCTTTTCCCCTCCCACCCCTCTGACCTATCTAGAGTTCATCTATTCCTCCCCATGCTTCCTCTCCCTACCCCACTATGAATCATTCTCCTTATATCAGAGAAAACATTTAGCATTTGGTTTTTTGGCTAACTTCACTTAGCATTATCTCTTCCAACTCTATCCATTTACCTGCAAATGCCATGATTTTATTCTCTTTTATTGCTGATTAATACTCTATTGTCTATATATGCCACATTTTTTTTATCTATTCATCTATTGAAGGGCACTAGGTTGATTCCACAGTTAGCTATCCTGAATTGTGCCTTATGGTGGTTTTCAAGATAGCGGAATAAAGGAGTTCGCATTCCTAGGTGTTCCATGATGTGAAACCAAAAAAGCAGAAAGGCAGCTTCTCATCAAGGTGGGTGAACAAAAAAAGCCGGGTGGTGGACTTCACTGGAATTTAAAACTAGACATTCAAAGCAGATCGGTGACTCAAGAGGTTGGATATGATAAAATAAGGAAGAAATCCTCAGCAGCTCAGCCACTGCCATGACCAAGCAGCAAGCATTATCCACAGTGGTCCCTCCATGAGCAAAGTGGAGGGATAAGGCAATTATAGGAACCTGCACTTTTAGGAGACCTGAGGCATGTCTAGGTATGGAGCATTTAGAGATCAAGGAAATTGTCTTAAACTGAAAGGCGCAGTGCACAATATCGTTGTGGGGGAAAGAAACCACCATCTCTCCACACAGCATGCAGAGGACAAAGGAAGGAATAATTTTGCAGCACATGCATGGATACTGGCAACTAAAAGAGCCAATTTCTTGCAAACCTGAGTTTCGCCTGAAATACAGGTCCAGTAAGCAAACATTACACAACAAAGAGTGTACTTAACTTACCAGGAGAAAATCAGACATGGAGAGAGGTTTATATAGAGGACAAATGGTTGTGGAAATCCACCTGGCTCTATCCCTGCCCCTCCAATCTGATGGTTTGTAGGACCTTCTTGGAGAGACATATCTGGCCAGGAATTGGAAGGGTGGAGGCAGGATAAATTGAGTTTGAAGACTGAACCCAAGACCAGGAAACAAGGGGTCCACGGGTGATATAAGGAATTCAGAATTAGCTCGGAGGGTGGAGGATGGGAAAGGCAGCGGAGCACAACAGACACTAGTATGGCAATTTGTAAATCAATGGATGTGTAACTGATGTGATTCTGCAATCTGTGTATGGGGTGAAGGTGGGAGTTCATAACCCACTTGAATCAAAGTGTGGAATATGATATGTCAAGAAATTTGTAATGTTTTGAACAACCCACAATAAAAAATTAAAAAAAAAAAAAAAAAAGAATTAGCTCCTCCATGACATGAGTGAAACCTAGGGAGATCCCTGGGATCCAGTCTTTCGACAGGGACCAGCAAGTCCTGGGCACTGGAGGTGCACTGATTTAAACTATCCAGACCAATTGGCATTCAGCGAAGAACCTGGAGCCCACCTAAGCCTAAACCCTGCCTCCAGGAATTCCATCTATGGGTTTACCTCTCTCACTCCAACAGTCCCCAGGGTGAAGTATCATGCTCCAGAAGACCCCACCATACCCCCCTAAGAAAAGAAGCTGAGAATTCTTTAACTTTTCATCAAGATTTTTTTATTGATTTTATTTTTTTATATATAAATACACGACAGCAGTAGAATGTATTACAATTCTTATTACACATATAAAGCACAGTTTTTCATATCTCTATATATAAAGTATGTTCACGCCAATTTATGCCTTTGAACATGTACTTTTTTGCATTACAATTCTTAATACACATATATACCACAATTTTTCATATCTCTGTTTGAACACAAAGTATGTTGACATCCAATTCAAGTCTTCATACATGTACTTTGTATAATGATGTCCATCACATTGCACCATCCTTGCTAATTTCCTGCCCCCTCCGTTTCCCTTCCACCCCTCTTCCCTATCTAGAATTAATCTAATCCTCCCATGCTCTCCCTCCCTACTCCACTATGAGTCAACCTCCTTATATCAGAGAAAACATTTGGCATTTGTTTTGGGGGGATTGGCTAACTTCACTTAGCATTATCTTCTCCATTGTCATCCATTTACCTGCAAATGACATGATTTTGTTCTTTTTTAATAATCAAGAATTTTTTAAAAATTCTTTTTCTCTTTTCAATTGTGACTTTAATGCTTCATGAATATTTATGCATACTCATACTTGATTTTTTTCTCATTTCTAGCATTTTTGAAGCCAGTTATTTTTCATGAATGAATTTTTGGGGGACTAGGATATTTGATTAGTAATGTCTTAGTTTTGTTTTACATTCTGTTATTTTGATTTATTTTTAATTTTTAACACTTCACTTTATATTTTTCTCTTATGTGTTTTCCTTGATTCTTTTTCTCCTTTTCTTCCACTATCAGCCAATCTGTTATTCTCTTTCATTCTTTCTTTAATCTTTTTACTTCTATTTTCTCTCCTCCCTCATAATCATCACATCCTATATATCACTTCTCTTCTCTCCCTGTCCAACATTTGAAATTGTAAACCATTTTGCAAACTTGCTGTTTTATTGTAGGCAATAACTGATCATATCATTTGTTTATTATTATAATTAACATTGTGGATGTCATAGTAGGAACTATTTGATTTAATGCAGTATATTGTTTGAATTGGTTATTGCTGTTATTTGACTCCCCCTAAACAGTGAGGTACTGGAAACCTTCAGTGACATTCTAATCCACAGGGTTAAAAACTCTACTGCCTTAGATTCATACTGTTAGATGAAAAAGCAAGGGAATAAATTGCCCCAAACAAACCAATATACTCCAATAACAGAATTCATTGGCACCACAGTGGAAGAAATGTCAGAGAGGGAGTTTAGAATCTACATAGTTAAACTGATACGTGAAAGAAAGGATGGTATAAGGAGTGAAATTAGAGAGAAAATACTAGAAGTGAAAGATCACTTCAAGAAAGAGACATTCTGGAGAAAAAAAAACAGAAATCTTTGAAATGAAGGAATCAATAAACCAAATTAAAACTTCAAGTAATATGGAATAAACTGAAAAGACCAAATTTAAGATTAATTGGGATAGAGGAAAGCTCAGAGATAAAAAAAAAAACAAAAAAACAAAAGGAATGTACAATCTTTTCATTGAAATAAGACCAAAAAATTTTCCAAATCTAAAGAATGAAATGGAAAATCAAATACAGAAAGCTTACATGACCCCAAATATACAAATATACAGACCCACACCAAGGCACATTACTTTGAAAATACCTAACATACAGAATAAGGATAGAATTTTAAATGCTGCCAGAGAAAAATGACAGGTCACATTTAGAGGGAAATCAGTCTGGATCTCAACTGATCTTTAAACCCAGACCCTCAAAGATAGGAAGTCTTGGAATAACATATCAAGGTCTGGGAGAACGAGGAAGCCAGCCAAGAATATTATACTCAGCAAAACTAAGCTTTGGAATTAATGATGAAATAAAACCTTCCATAATGAACAAGAGTTAGTTAAAATTGAATTCAGAACTGGAAAGCCTGCAGTACAAAACATACTCAATAAGATATTTCATGAAGAAGAAATGAAAAAAGGGGAAACCAGCATTGGGAGGAACTATTCTAGAAGAATAGTCGAAGGACAAACTAATTCAAATTAAAAATCAGAAATAAATCAAAATAACAGGGAATAAAAATTATTTCTCAATAATAACATTGAATGTAAATGGCCTAAATGCTGATCAAAGACATGGAGTGAAGATTGGATTTAAAAAAAAAATGAGCAATATGCTATCTACAAAAGACTCAACTTGTATTCAAA